AAGTTAGCAGGGCACGCGAAATTTTTTGAAATATGTCCGCGGCAAAATTATTCTTTTCACGGATAAACAACGGATAATTTACGGCAAATTATCAGATAGTTAGTTTGGGTTTAGCTGGGTTCCTTCATAGGTTTTCAGAAGATGCCCTGCTAACTTCCACGGAAGTTAGCAGGGCACGCGAAATTTTTTGAAATATGTCCGCGGCAAAATTATTCTTTTCACGGATAAACAACGGATAATTTACGGCAAATTATCAGATAGTTAGTTTGGGTTTAGCTGGGTTCCTTCATAGGTTTTCAGAAGATGCCCTGCTAACTTCCACGGAAGTTAGCAGGGCACGCGATATTTTTTAACATGTGTCAGCCGCAAGATAATTCTTTTCACGGATAAAAAACGGATAATTAACGGCAAATTATGCGATACGAATTTTTGCTTTGAGAAAAAGTTGTCCTGCCAAGTTCAGAGAGGTCGGTAGAGTACTTAGCAAAGGATTTACTGCTAGTATCCTATAGCTGGGCAGGCTAACTAAAGATGACAGAAGTAAGTTTTTGGTCAAATATGAATTTATTATTCAACGTTAGCAACTTTAGCACACTTGCTTCAGTTGGATTGCACAAGCTCTTTCGATATCTTTACCATATCAGTTATGTCTGTACTTCGCCGCGCTTTAACTCTCCGGTCTATCGGACGATCATTATTCATCACTGCGTTTGGCACTAGATCTGAAGAATAAGGTATGCAGGTGTTAAAGCCTTACTTTTCATCTTTCTTTCCCTCTCCCTACTTGAAACCTTGTAATTCTTCTGAGGTTCGGTAGAACACTCGCTTTGTACCTCACCAAGATTCTAAACCTGTCGATGACCATTCCCGCCATTTCTAACTTGTGGAAATCAGGGAGAGTGGCCCCCTTGCTTAAACCGCGAGAAACACTCTGCAATGAAGACTTATCGGCTTATAACACTTCTCTTATCACTACTGAATGCACTTAAAGCCTTGCTACTTTACTACCTAACCACTGGAGAAAGTTCCTCTGATCTTATACGCTAACGATGATTCGACATTGGCGTCCGTTAATGACATTGGTGGCCTGTGCCCAAAAGGAAGCGGCTTCTTGAGTCACGTCGATGGTGGATCAATTGCGACAATGAACAACCCGAAAGGTCTAAGGGTTAAATAAAATCGGTCGATCAGTTCAAAACTTTGCTGCGTCGCTTTGGTCACCGAGGACTAGAAGTGATATCGGCAAATTTATCAGGTAATCAAGATGGTTCAACCGAGAAGTCTACATATACATATGTATGTAGGTATTTAGCATTCCCACGAAAGTGCATCAAAATAGCGCAAAAAGCTGTAATTGTAGTACCAATGCAAAGAAAAAAAAACGATGAGGTAGTTATGTATCAGAGCTATTCGCACATTTTAAATGCTTGATGGTAACCCAGACCTCAACGCAGCAGCTTCTGCATAAAGAACACGATGACACAATAACAGCTCTCACTGCCGATCTGTTGATTTTCAGCTCTTCCTTTTTTTTGTTTGATAGCGGCGATAATGATCTTGAGACCTTCATCACAATCATCTCGTTTGGTCCATAAGTCATTTGACTATCTCTTCAGCTGTCTAATTCCCCTGAATATTGCTATCTTTGACCGAGAACCCAGCAAATAATGACATTGAGATGTCCCCCAATGATGCCAAAGCGCACTGCATTTCCGCACAAGCCCCGATTTCTCTACCTTGCACTTCCCACTAGAAACCAGCTATTTATTAATATTTTAATTAGGAATGCAAGTTTTGTGATTAATATGCATATGTAGGTATACATATACATAATATGTAGTCCATATGTAAATGATAAACTCGGCTAATTTCTACCAAGATATTGGCTTTGTTCACATTTACAAAATTAATTAAGTCATTTATACATATACGAATTCTATGTAGTCCTATAAGTACATACCTTTACACCCCGCGGCAAAATGATACGGTCATATTTATTTTAATTATGTGTCTATCTTAAAAAAAAACTATATAATTTCAAACTTCAAACTTTGTACACAAATTAGAAAAATTCAACAAAATTGTACAACTCATTTTTTATTTTATTTCTTCTATGTATGCTGTTCAGGGCTAGATGGTATGAGTTAACCACCTGCAAAACGGCAAAAATTATGAATCTCCTGAAGAGAAACGAGAGTTATCCGATCGAAAAATATTGATTTTCAAAAATTATATTCAATTTCTACGAAAAATTGTTCTCTTGCCATATACATAGAATACGTGGAAAACTTGGAGCGCTTTGAGCGACCTCTAAATATTTTTTGATTTCAAAACAAAAAAGGGGTATATTTTTTTCGATATAGAACAATCTTAGGTGGTGAGAGCATTAAAACTCGGATTTTACTTTTTCCCATATGCATTTTTGGATCACCCTTATGGTACACATCGCTAGCTTAAGGGCCGTTTTCTGAAGTAATCTTTTAACTTTAAAGCTCACTTTATATTTAAAGGTTGGATTATGTCGAAAGTTAAGCATTTCTATTCTCGGTTTTTGACGTATGTATGTTTCTTTGTCATAAATTTTAATGCAACCTTTATACATACATATATAAAGTCAGCTCTGAAGTTACATGTTACTTGAGAAAACGGCCTTAAGCGCTGTTTACATTCATATAAAATGACGCTGAAGAAAAGGAAAACAGATTTTCTTCTCTCAAAATTTCTTAAATCAGTTTGCAGCTCTCAAGAAAAAAATGCTCGTATATTTATTTCTTCAAGAAAAATTTACATCAAAAGCAAAGCCAGTTTTCAAGCAGCAGAAATAATGAAAAATATTTCTTTTGATTTTTCTTGAGAGCTGGATTGTGTAGTTTGGATACTTTGAATCTGACCGAAATCCCAAATGAGTGGCAATAGTGGCATCGAATCTAAATAAGGTAAGGAAGCTTACATCAAAATGAACACCACGGTTACATATTTTCGTGTACGTTTTTACACATTCCAAAGAAAAATTACTTATTCGGAAGAATTTTTCGAGATTTTGACGAGCTTAAAAAGTAAGGAAAGTTTTTCTTTATTTGAGAGATGGTATGTTTTCTGAGTGTAGGCGCATACACGGTGGGTCTGACCAGCGAGTCGGTTTGGATGTGTTCGTGATAATAAATATGTGTTAGTTACACCCGCATGACTCGGAATGACTCAACTGTGTGTAGTCGAAAGGCGTATCAACACCTACACAGATGATTCGAGAGTCAGACGCACGCACCGTCTATGGCGCCTATAAACTTTAGAATGAAAAGTTGCCTAATTCATTTTTAAAAATTTAACAGGAGAGGAAATATATTTGTTACAGCCATTTTCTTCAAGTATTTTGTAAGACATTGAAAACAACATTTTGTGCAGTTAGAGCAAATCGAAACTCGTATTCGAATCAGAGGTCGCGGAAGTTATTTAAAAGATTTTTTATTACTTTGACCTTATAGAATTTCCAGCGTCTCTTTTTGGACTTAGCAAATTTGTTTTTATTTGAATATCAATGGAAAGAAATATCGCTAGTACCTTAATACTTTTGGAAAATATGCTTTTTTAATTTCTCTGGACTCCTATATTTAAATATGAGTTTTCACAAAAGGTGGATTTAGCAACTGTTGTCTCTAAGCTAGCGATATGAACATATCGTTTCTTAATATAGAAAGGCCCTACTTATATAACATTTTTCGTTTCTTTATAAAACAGTTATACAACTTTATAAAAACTAAAGTTATTTAACTGCAATTTTCTTAAAAGCACAGTTTTTGTTAAACAATGAGCTATACTTTTATAAAAAAAAATAAAAAATAAAATTAATTAAAAAAATAATCCAAACCGGCTGACCGTATAATTTTGTCACGGGGTGTACATACATATGTATATGTAGAAACCTTTGCCATCAGAGATCGCTTCATTCGGTGTTATTGAATACGTTCCAGTGGCTCGTTTCTGTGCATTTCTCATTGTGCGCTTAGTCATTGAGCAGTCAATTGTGCTGCACAAAGCGCTCGAGAGCTATGTATGTATGTACATATACATATGTACAGTAGCTTTTGGAAGCTGCTGACTAACAGGCATTCTATATTTGGTTGTTATTAGTTCCTCATGCCGACTTTGTTTTGACTCCCTGTCTAACAAATTCGCCCACATGTACATACATATGTACGTATGCAGCTTTGTATTGTCTCATGGCTATGTCGCATACTATATCAGTTTCGTCCCTGCCTTTGGATACTTCATGGCGCAATTTCATTTGTTCTTTTTTAGCGCTTTTAATTTCTACTATGCCTTTACGTTTATGTAAATGTATGTATGTATGTATGTTTTGCCACTTTGAACTTCTCAATTAAGCAATTTGTTGCATTCATTCATAAAAACCAGAATTTCTTCATTCATAAAATTTATTGACCTTTTTTCTTTTAGCATTTTCTAGAGATCGTATATATTTATACATATGTATGTATGTATGTACTTATGTATGTGCATGAATTTGTGTAAATTATTCGATCATGAGGGTGCGGCAAATGTTGCTGAAATAGCCGTCATTGGAATTGGTTACTTTTTAGCGCGTTATTGATAAATTTAGTGGTTATTAGCGTTGGGTTGGGCCATTAGATTGTGCCGTGTCCGAATCGGCAATTAAAAAGATGGCAGGCATTTCAATTTACCAATTTTAATTGAGTTTTGCCTTTATTGGTTTTCATTTTGGCATGAGTCAACCAGATCCAGCCACTAATGATCGCTTATTAATTGCAACAGTTTTTAAAGCATACATTATGCCGAATTTTCACTGAGCACTTAATAAAACAAATTTGAGTGACCAAGTTTGACCTTAAACATTTCTCTACCGTTATATTAAAATTATATAAAATTCAATTTTTTTTGCACATGTCATCTCTCATTTTAATTTACCTATATTCACCTTAATTTCAGGCGCCGGCGAATCAGGCAAATCCACCATAGTAAAACAAATGAAAATCATCCACGATAAAGGCTACTCACAAGAGGAATGCGAACAGTATCGTCGTGTTGTCTACAGTAATACCATACAGAGCATGATGGCCATCATACGTGCTATGGGTCATTTGAAAATTGATTTTGCGGATCCATCGAAAACGGAAATCGCTCGCCAATTCTTTACATATGCCTCAACAGCGGAAGAGGGTATACTTTTGCCGGAAATTGTGCTGCTGATGAAGAAACTTTGGGCCGATGCCGGTGTACAACAGTCTTTTGCGCGTTCACGTGAATACCAACTGAACGATTCAGCAGCTTACTATTTGAATTTGTTGGATGAAATCTCGAAACCAAATTACATACCAACACTGGAGGATGTACTGCGAACTAGGGTCAAAACTACGGGTATTGTGGAGACACATTTCACATGTAAAGGCATGCATTTCAAGTGAGTGGCGTGGGAGTTTGAGAAACTATATATGTCAATTGTTTTTGCTAACCGATTAATTTTGAACGTTTTTAGAATGTTTGATGTTGGTGGTCAACGATCGGAACGCAAGAAATGGATTCACTGCTTTGAAGGTGTAACGGCAATTATATTTTGTGTCGCACTATCTGGTACGTAAAAAGATATGCAAAATATGTAAAATGGGTATTTTGAAAGGGAGTTGGAATAAGCGCTTAAAAAATGCAAAAACTGAAAATAAATTTTTTTTTTTATATACCAAACTATTAGATCCTTCCATGCCACTAACTACAAGCCGACAAACCTAGAGACTGAGATCTTTTGTATCTCTAAAGAGAGTCCCTAACCTAATACAACCAAGATACATACCTTGTTGTTCCTTAATGAATCCTAAGAGGACCTTGATAGGCGAACTCCTAATTATAAAGGGTTAGTGCATTGGAGCTTTAAATTCAATTAATTATTGCCTAGCCAAGGTCGCATAGTCTCTTTGCCGGTATTCTGACTCTATGACCACGCCTAACTATGCGGCGCGTGTGGAATCGTACTCGTTTGTGACCAGTTGGATACCTAGTGAGGAGTAGCCTGATGTTATTTCTGTTTAATAGAATAATATCTTTTCTATTTGAAAGAATATTAGAATATTTCGAGTGTTACCTCTTATAGCCAGTTTCACCAGCAATTTAAATGGAAAATGATTTTTTATTTTCTGTAAATTTTCATATAAAATTAAAATAATTTTTCACTTGTATAAACAAATTGTTTTCGTGAAATTGGCTATTAGTATTTATATGTAGCTCTCCACAGCTGGCTGATACCCATCAAAGTATTACTGTATTTATCTATGTAAGTTTGGATTTTATCATCCTAATAGAGAGAGCCCAGACGGCTGATTGGCTATAGAAAAGATGATTAGGAGGCCCCCCGTTAAACCCTTTTCAAGGTTTGGCTTGGCGCAAATTAATATAATTGCCTGGCACACCGTGGGCCCATGGGAGATGCAAGTTTAATATCAGGCTATAAACACCTGCACCTGCCCTCTCGCCCAACCTTGAACCGTCGTAAATGTANGTGTTTTGTAACATTCGACATCCGTTTTCTGAGACGACGATATGTAGATACTGGCACCACGGGCAGGGAGCCGCTGCGCAATCTTTTGGGATTTTTGACAAGGCAGTTTCTACCAAGGAAGATTTTTTTAGTTATGGCGCGGCGCATATTTCCAACCCTGGTATCTTCCCAAAGATGCTAAACACAAAGATTTTACTTTAAGGAGACCCCACCTAAATTAAGAAATAACTGTGCTTCGGCTTTTGAAAATAACTAATGCCTTAAAAATTGTATCTATTTATTGCAGGATACGATTTGGTACTTGCCGAAGACGAAGAAATGAATCGAATGATTGAATCGCTCAAACTATTTGATTCAATTTGCAATTCCAAATGGTTTGTGGAAACATCTATAATATTGTTCTTAAATAAAAAGGATTTATTCGAAGAGAAAATTAAAAGATCTCCACTCACTATCTGCTTTCCGGAGTACACAGGTAAGTGTAGGAGAATCTTTTTTTTTTGTTTTATTATTAATAATTAAATCTGCTCTGCATTTTGAATCGGTTTGAACACTATATAGTGTGCAAGTATAGCGTGTTCCCGAGTTTTACAACTAGTTTTTTTTTATTTTAGTGAAATGTATTAAGTAGTTTGTAAGACACTCATATTGAATCTCGAATTTGTATAAATGCCCACTTTTTCTCTTTTTTAGGTCCCAACACTTACGATGATGCTACCAACTATATACGCATAAAATTCGAAAGTCTCAACAAACGAAAGGACCAGAAAGAAATCTATACACATCTGACATGTGCAACGGACACAAACAATGTACGCTTTGTATTCGATGCCGTCACCGATGTTATCATTAAGAACAATCTCAGAGATTGTGGACTCTTCTAAGTTACATTTATAACTAATTGATAGATATGTTTTGCATTTAAGTAAGTCTGCTCTATGTAACGCGCACAAGCATACTCGTATATCATGAATGCGCTTGTTTGTATGTATGTATTTGAGTAGTGAATTTCCTACATACATATGTATGTCATGTAATGGCAATTTTCATTACTCGATTCAAATGCATCAGCCTGGCATTCATTAAAGCTCATTGATCTAAACATTCCATAATATTTTGCAATTAGAAATTGCTTACAGCCACTACATATACATACCTATATGGATTAGGTACTATTTAAAAATAATTAAAGTCTTATGTGCTGCCTGCTTGTCAAAAGAGCCACTAGATCTACTTGTAAATGAAGAGATCTTTGAACGTTGTATACATGGATCGGCACATAAGTTACAGTGAGATGATATGTATGTAATGTAAGTATTATATTAGCACTACTTGGGAATGCAATTTCAAATTTATAGCTTGTGTGTAGATATTTTTAAGTAGAAAAAAGTCGCAAAATTTAATTAATACTCCACAAGAGGTGACAATAATTAATACTACTAACTCTGGTCAAATGAAGAGTTAAGTAAAGCGTGCGAAAAGAAATTATTTATTGAGTCAAAGAAAATTACGTATAATTAACTAAAAATTATTAAGATGCGAGTACATTAATTTCTTTTATTTTTATTATAACTCCAGCTAGACTCCATTTGTTTGACAATTTTACAAGCCTTTGTATGGAAATATCAAATGATTTTTTTAAGAATTAATAACGTTGTGAACTATGGGTCTTTAATGCAAGACAATTTTTCAATCAATCGCATTCCTGCTCCATTCCATACAGTTAAAAGTTTCGAATATCAATATTTTTAGCATGAGCACTAGATTTTTGTTTTATTTGGAAACAAAATATTAATTGGCTTATCATGTTTAGGTGATGTACCTACGTGTACTTTTGCCACTGTAGTGCAGTTTGCTCTTTAATATTTCATAACTAAATAGCTAGTTTATATTTTTACGATAGTAAAAAAATTAATTTTTTATTTTGTAACTTTAATATTACTGTACAAAACACAATAAATAATATGATAAAAACTGAAGGCGCGCACTTAATGATATTTTTTATGTCATATGTATAGGTATCACAACTAAAAAAATGTGTAGTACTTTTTGAAGCACCCTTAATTCCACTGTTAAACAAAATTTGGACGAGCTTTGATCTCGAATTCGGAACCGGCCTCATCTTGGGAAATAACTGTTGAAGTGTAAAAAAAGGTAAATTAAAAAAAAAAATAATAATAATAATTTGGAAAAAGTTTTCCGAAGAAAAAAAAACGCGTATTATTGTAAGTCCGATTCGTCTAATGGATTCCACTTCATATCGATGAGTTGATTAGAAATGGGTGAAAAATCCAGGTATAGCAAAAAAAAATTATTGAATAAATGATTTCAACAGAAATTCTGCCAATTTCAAATTTTATTTGAAGTCAGAAGGAATGGAATACAATTAAAGATCGAGTTAGGATATTTTTCGCATTGAAAACAGATACCTACTTTTGAAGAATTCATTTTTTTTTTACTTTTCCGGGATTTTGGTTTTTTTTACTTTTCTTTGTTTGTCTAATAAATCATATAAAACATATTTCCGGAATTTTTTCACTAATTTCAACTCAACTCATCGTGATGACGAATTTGATTTTCATTAAAACGCGGTTTTTCTTCGGAAAAACAACGTCCAAATTATTATTTTTTTTTAATTTTGTGTAATAGACCTGCTAAAAAAAAATTAGAATCAAAAAATCTGTAAGATGAGATCGTTCTCGTTTTCGAGATCTCAAACTTGCCAAAATTTTGTTGAACCTTGTAATTTATTTCTCACCCAAAACTAAGGTATTAAATTTAGTTATTGATTTGTGGTGAAAGCTACTTGAACAAGTGTAAATAAAATGTTTTCCTTATTAAGCTGAAGAATATTTAGTTTAACAGGAATATAATTTTTGTGTCCTCCGACTCCTCCTAAAAAGATCTCTGAACCGGAGTATCCGACATAAAACAGGTAAGGAAATTGAAATTCGACGAAAATGCACTTTTAATACCCGACAGTAAACTGGAAATTCGAAAAGCATTTCATAACAATTTTGACAGTTTAGTAAAGCTTTCGCGGTGTTTGAGGGGTTTTCCACTTTAGTAGAATACCCAGTCTCTTATTTTTGAACGGAAACTCTCACTGAAGGTGGCACAGCGTCGCAACCGGTTTGTCTCCAATTTAAATTTAGGAAGGTTCGAAAGTTTTTTCCAAAGTACTATATATTGAAAATTCTGTCAAAATACATCAGTTTCTTCACTAGTCATCAAAAGCCCGAAATGGTGGTTAAAAATGTTATAACCACCGTACTATTTTTTGTTCTTATTTAATTTTAGTGTTTAGTTGTAATGTAAATCCAAATTTCAAACTTTGTGGAATATTTAAAAGCATCAACAAATTTTCGTAAAAACGTAGAACTTTTTAATTAGATTTCTTAGAAATATTTTGCAGTTTTTTAGCTCATTCGGTTCAGGTATGTACAAAAAATGTATAAAAAAGTGCAAGATTTAAATGGCTATAAATACCGTTCATTTTTTTTTTAAATTTTCTTTTTCGCATTTGCATGCATTTAACGAATAAACACAATTTATTTTTATATATCGAATAAAAAATTAATCTTTCTTAATAAAAAATAACTAAAATTAAATACAGTGCTATCTGGGTCGAGTGAACTAATTAATGCAAGACCAGTTCATAGAAAACAGACTGTTCACTATATCCAGATTGAGTTTTTTGTTCTTTAAAATCCATTTTATTGCGCAGTGCGTCTTTTAAAGTTAAATTTTTAAGAACTCTGAAGTGTCGTCTTCTCCCGCAGCTAATGCCAACACATGTTTTCTGTTGTTGTTGTATCGTTGTCGTCAAGCTCTATAGCGGTAGACCCAGGAAGCGTGAAGCCTCGATGCGGTCTGTCCATAAGGCCAGAGACCTTAGCAGGGTGGGGTTCAGTGGGCGTGTGAAGAGATGCTGCGAGTCATGGAGCGTCTCTCCGAATGTCGGGAATTCATTTGGCACATCTGCATTTATTCTGTTCAGGTAGAGTTCAACCTGCTGCAGTAGCCCGATCGAAGTTGGGCTATGTGGTCCGAGTCTCCCGAGGCAGACGAAGCTCTGTCTCCGGTAACAACACAGGCGCTGCATAGTTCAGAACCGACCGGCCAATTGCCTTGTACGTTGCCAACAACGTTTCTTTGTCTTTGCCCCAGGTGCTGCCGGCTAGCGACTTGATGACTTTGTTGGGGCTTTGTACGTTATTGACAATTGCGGTTGTATACGCCGAGAAGGAGAGCAGACCTTCGAAGGTTACTCTGAGGACTTTCGGGTTATTCAACGTTGGAATTGGTTCGTCATCGACGAGGATACCCAGTTGCAGTCTGGCCTCCTTCGTCCAAGTGCTGAAAAGCGTTGCTGAGGATTTTGTAGGGGAGAGGGTTAGGCTCCGTGCAGTGACGAAGCGAGAAAGCTCGGCGTTACTTGAATAGTTCTTTCACAGGGGGGGGTTTCGGTTAAGGCCACGAGTTATCTGGGTGTTTATGGCGTCAAGTGCTGTTGTTGTGCTGTGAACTTTACGAAACCCATGTTGATGCTTCGCTGGGGTTCAGTAATTTGTGTAGTGCGGGAGTAGAAGGGTCTCTAGTGTCTTCGCAACCGGGGAAAGGAGAGCTATCGGGCAAGAAGACTCTCCTTTGTTGGACGGTTTCCCCGGTTTAAGCAGTGGAACCATTCTCCCCATTTTCCAGATGTCTGGTACGATGAGAGTGGCCATAGACAGGTTGAGGACCTTGGTTAGATAGTCCACTCCCGCAGGACCCAATTTTTTGAGCATCAGCTTGCAAATTCCGTCGGGTTCAATCGCTTTGGAGACTTTCGCCTTCCCTATGGCTATCCTTTCCTCATCGCTGCTGAAAAAAAGAGGCGCACTTGGTGTTGGCAGTTTGTGCAGCCTTCTGGTTCGGAGGATGCAGTACGAACTGTTGGATAAAATAGCCCGCGCATCGCTCCGGGTCGGACGAAGCGTGGTCGCCAAAAGATATTTCAACTCTGTCGTCATGCTTCGTCGGATTGGACAGTGACCTCACGGTTGACCAAAGCTTGCTCACACCAGAGGCGAAGTTACAGGTCTTCAGATGGTCTTCGCATTTTACTAGTCCGAATCTCCGAGTTGAGAACCCCTTATACGGGGATCGGCCTGGCGAAAGGGATTATCCTTTTTGTTATTAAGTTTTGCGTTACAGTTTTGAATTTGGAAGGAATTGGTTTTAAATTTTGTTCACTCTACAAAGACTCAAAATTGTTCACTCTATAGAGTACTCAATGGAAAAATTTTCATGTTCACTCTTTCGAGGTGTTCGTAGCATCGGGTATTCACTCCAGCCAGATACCACTGTAACAAAAATAAATAAATTGATTAATAGGGATGTTTTCGCAGTCTTGCAAAGTACGGTGCACGGTTTCCAAATCTGTGTAAAAAAAAAACCGGTTTATACCGTGCAATCCGTGCAACTTGCAAGGGCTTTGCAAGACTCCGAGAATACCGCTTACGACTTTTTCCAACAAATTATTTGGATCTTTTACACATTTCACTTAATACTTTTTTACATTAATACAATTTCCAGGTACGACGGATCAATATTATAAGGAACTGTATAAACGAGAATTTTAAAATGTTGCCTTTAATTTTTCCAAAAAGTCTACAAACAAAATAAGCAACCATAGAACTTAAAATTGTCAATTGTCAAAAGCTCTGAAAAAGTTTACAATCGAAAGCACTCAAGTTGTGAACTTGTCAAAAGCTAATTGCAAACAAAAAAAAATAAGATAAGAACGTAGCGAAATTCGACATACCACCACAGCGCGCAACGAAAAGCAGCAGCAGAATCAGAAGCATAGTGCGAATTGAACCAGTTGTTTAGTGATCTCATCATCGCAAAAAACCAAACGCAATTTGAGCCGGCTGTAGCGTAATGTAAATGTTTTTCGCTTTTCGCTTATTTTGACGTTTGACTTTTTAAAATAGCGGGGTTTTACTTTTTCCACAGCTTTAAATAGTAAACTATCAGCAAGAAATGTTGCTTTCCAAATCTATACGAATAACACCAACTCTTGTCAGTGCCACAGCAGCTAGAATCAGTGGTCCCAGTGCAGTGGCCGGTTTAGAGCAACAACACAGGAACTTAATTGTCACAAGCGCTGTGATGTCCAATGGATTGAGCGGTAAGTCGAAGCACCTACATATAAATGAATGATTAAGCAGTAGTAATAAAATAATCTACATGCATACATGTGTGTGTGTGTGTATGGATGTATGTATTTCAAAACTTTCCTTTTCGTTTTTGTTGTGCGTAGAAAATGCAAGCATACAAGGCAATTTCATCAGATTCAATATGATTGCTCCCGGTGCCCTGACAGCTGTACGTTTCTATGCGGATGATACCAAGCCGCAAACGAAAAGCTCCACCAGTACAAGTTCAAATGCGCCAGCCTTCAATTTACCGGATCGTGAACAAGTTGAAAGATTTATATTTCGTGTGCTTGCACTTATTTGGGATATCAGCGTATGGATTTATATAAACACCAAAAGAGCTATTGAAACGTATATTGTAGCCAATGATTCAGTGCAATTGTACTGGAAGCGATTGCACGAACGAATGGCTAAGGCCAAGAAGGAATGGTAAATGATGTTGGGATTTTGTAAAGCAAAACAATTTTAACACATTTGCGCTTTTTGTTGTTGGATTAGCATTTGTTTACTCATATTTTCTTCAATTTGATTTCATCGCCTTTACAATTAAAAACTACATAATTGATATGTATTTCATGCGGGGTTTTTCATATTTAATACATTTGCAAATTAATTAAAAATTTAAACAATTTTCTTTTGTAAATAAAATTCAAGAAAAGATATGTATGTATTTACATAGTATGTAATGTTTATTCACAAATTGATATACATATGTATCTGTAGTTTCTTCAGTTCTCCAACAATTGTGCCAGATATTCAGCAATTTTGTTACGTGCCTCCACCAATTGTGGTGGATCGGTTTTGGCTGGCTCATGCATATCGGCGCAGTGTGCAGTGCCTATCGAATAAGGAGATTTCGCCAATTTACCAAAATACAAAATACGTACACAGGAAATGCATTTACCTTCAATGAATATAGTGGGTAAATTCGGATTTTTAGATGTGGTCAAACCCAGTGCATGCCATGGATCAATGGAGCCATGCACATACAGCACATTTGTTGTATTAGGATTAAGACCGCCATAGTTTTGATTGGTTTGTGATACAACATGCTCCAAGTACTTTGCGTCCATGCTGTATTAAATACGTATACATATGTATATACGTGTTTGTAAAGATAATTTAGAGATAAATAAGTAAAATGGATACGTTAGATACTACCTCTCTGAGTAAATATCCATGCACTGTTTTATGAAGAAGTCAATTTTAAAACGATCGCCAAATGTGTCATTCTTATTATTTGATGTTTGATAGAAACCAAATTCATTACATGTCTGATAGGTCCATTGACGTGTCCAATTAGCTGCCTTAGCGTACCAAGAGATATTCCGCATTCCAGTTATCATCTTATCGTACTTGTAATCGAAGCACTTCTCTTTGTACTCTTCCAAAAGCATGCCACTGACAATGCCTAAACGTGCAACTGGCGGACCAATTGTTGTATTCACCATTACGTTGCAAACCTGTTAGATTTTATATAGTAAACTTTTGTAATTCTTTTTATTAAAACAATTCATACTAACATCGTCTATGTTGCAGCCAGCATCAGGTCCATTGTTCTTATTGGATTGTACCACACCCGCAATATTATCGGTCAACGCTTGAAAGAAATTGGACATATCTAACGAGTTATTAGCCGACTCCATAATTGGCGTGCAGGTGCTAAAAAAAAATTGTTAAAAGTAAAACAAATTAAAATTCAGAAGAATGCAAAGTTCATATCGAGCCCTAACGTATGTACGTACGTACATCTAGATGACCTAGGAGCATTACTGCAACAAATAGAACATTTGTCGCTTACGTTTTTTTTTTTTGGCGGTAAGGGCTCGATATAATCATTTTAAAATTTCATTACTTAAAATGTTCATCCAAATCACGCTGGCCGATCTCATTACGTAAGAGGGTTTCTATCTCAGCAAAAGCCGAACCAAAAGCCTTCAGGCAGCTGGCGGAATGCGTTTCGAAAGAAGCTTTCACTAGTTGTAAATACTCTGAAAATAGCGAATAAAATAAGTAGAAGATGAAAATTAAAATTCAACTGAATTCATTAGTTGATTGTTTTCAAATTCCTAATAATTATAAAAACTAATGGCCATATGTATTTTCATAAGTGATCTCTGAACGTACTTAAAACTCTTATTGTTGAGCTTGAAGGTTCAGTTAGTCTAGACTTAATTTACGTAACGTAAGCTAATATCAGTGGTCATAAGCAATATATATATTTTTGTTCAGGAATTTTTTAATCTGGCTTATAGGCGGCCAAGTGACCATCAGCTGAAAAGGATAATACAAAAAAAAAAAAAAAAATATTTTCGCTTCTGGCCAAGTTGACTTGTTGAGTGATCATTGACGATTTCTTACGTAAGTTAAGTTAAGTCTACACTAACTAGACTATCAGTTTCGGTTTTTAAAAACCTGGCAGTTAGCGCTTAGCATTCACGTACGCGAAAGTGTTAAGAGATTTCATAATGGTCTTACCATAAAAATCTACTTTAGCCAATAGCGGTGCACTCGAGCTGATCGCGCCATATATTAAATGGGGATACTTTTCACGCGCCCAGGCAGCCAATGCCCCGGGATAGGAACCGCCGAAGACAATCCATTTCTGTTTAGCGGTAAAGTTATATTTCTTGTTCATGCCTTGAATGAAGTTGGCCACATCAGCGAGTGCTTGTTTCGATGAAAGATATTGTAGATTCTCGAATGAGAGATCACTGTGGGGTAAAAATGAAAGTATTAAAACAGAAAATTCCGAGTTTGGTAAAGGCAAATATCGATAAATGATGATGATATCAGTATCGATATCTAATGATAATTACTCATGCTTTAATCGGCCATGTTATGGTTGTCAGTTTTTTGTTGACCTCGACCTCCATTTAAATCTAAAAAAAAAAACGGTTTTTTTTCAAATGCCCATAACGGAAAAAATGGGCCTATTGAGACCATTTTTTGTTGAATTTTTTCATTTTCCAAAAAACTTTATTTCTATGAAATTTTCGAAATTTAAAATAAAATGTTGGTTTCAAAAAAACATGTACTGATAATCGGACCTATATTTTCGAAATTTTAAAATTATGAAAAAATAGCAATTTTTATCCAACTCAACGCCAAGAACTCCGACTGAAATTTATGTAAAAAAGCTGCAATTAACCAGAATATCTAATATAATTTTTTTCCGAGATACATAATCCGATCTGCTAAATACCTCCCCGTATTAACAAAATAATCATATTTATATAGTACGCAAAAATATCTTTACCATTTTGGACGACTTTTTCCATAAAATCGATGCTCCAAGTGAAAGCATATGGCCCCAAAGCGTTCCGCAAAACGAATCCACGTGCCCTTTGTGACCCAACGCGGCGAAATCGGGAGTTCACCACCGATCGTTAGAAAAATGGGTGCATCACTGTCATTCCGATAGAACGTGTCATTTATATAATATAACTGAAAAGCATAAAGATACTTTTTGTATTTTAAATTCTGCTAAAAGGGTTAAAATATGAAACGTGCATATTTGTTGATAGATAATGGTAGCATTTAAAATTAAATCGACTAGTTTTAACTTTTAAGCACAGAAATGTTTGCAAAAAGGCGCTAAATTTTAAATTTTTTAATTATAAACATAGTAAAAGGTATCCCGAAGCTCTGCTATTTCAATTTGAAAGTGGATCAATTGCAGAATTGCTTTGTAGATGTAACAGTTTTTTAATTTTTTTTCGGGTGGAAAACATTTCGCATTTAATACTAAAAAAGACCTAGTTTTGGGTCTCCCTCTATGCAAATGTATATTCTTCATATGTATGTACGTATGTATATATGTATTTAAGGAATAAATATTCTTACTTGATTCCATTTTACTTGCTGCTTTTCCTTATCAAAATGATCAAGTGTTTGTAGGAACCAGTTCTCTTCTGCTGGTTCTTCTGGTGTATCTGGTATCAAGTTCCATCTGCTTGGCTCACCAATAGCTCGATGACCGTTACGAAATGCTGTTGTCTTATCAAGATTATCAAAAACAAACATCAACAAGAAAATTACAGCCAAATACATCCGATAACTGGAAAGTGTTGACACAACTCTAGACACAAACAGTTCATTGGCTTCCATTGCTATTAAAGTGTTCAATGATAAAAATAGAAAAACCTGATTATATATTTTAGAAATACATACTATTAAAAAGATGATGATAAATCTTGAAAATTTTGGTTGAAAATAAGGTAGGTTTTTTTTAAGCCTTTGGAACAGATTAAAATCTCCTTTAATATTGAAAACTTTCACTGTTGATATAATTAACATGCAAATTATGACGCCTGCTTTCGCAATCGATATATGTATGTACATATTTATATAATCATAAGAACTTACCTAATTAGAAAAATTTTGCGAGCGTTTGCAGATAAGAATTGTATACGCCTAGCTTAACTTCAACGGTTCAATTGATTCACTGATAGAAATGATTCCTGTTTTAATAGACCTACATACATACATTTAATATTCGTGCTTATGCAAAGGCTTCACACTTCTCTTCAGTTGTTGTATTTATGTATTGAATGACAAGCGGAAAATAATCGAACCAACGCGGCAGGTTGTATTTAGAAAAATCACACGGCTACCAAGTAGCTGCCTTTATTTATACTAAAATTCTTATCCTAGTTCTTAAGCTAATCAGTTGTATGTACATAACACTTCCATAGTGCTATGGACACAGACCTTAAACCTAGGTACCTAACATGCACATATACCTAAACCTAAATGAATAACCCACATGCCTCCAGACGTTTCCACATTAATATTGCTAGCCAAAGTGCATACAACTGCCCAAGGTCGCATCAATCATTATGGTTTTACAATGCTACATGTGTTTACACAATGCAGACGGTGAAATTGTATGTGGTGCACCTAACCGTCTAGCTACAAATCATGTACTCAAGCATCTCTTACCGAACCGGGTAAGTGTCCTTGAGTCGCATTGTTTGTATTCTTTACGTAGGTAGTCATTTTGTGTCTTTGCTCCCATCTAAGAGCGGGACCATATCACCGCGATAGCTTGCTTAGAGATACGTACATGCGTACAATTGTACCGACAAGCATGCCAACATAACGATAATTAAGTGGACAGTCCAGATGCATTCACCAACATATGTACATACATTCAACCCACAATGATGAACATGTATGCTCTATTTCGGAATGAGTTTTATTAAGCTAAAAACTTTTCTGCTAAGAGTAATACTCTTACTATTTCTTTCGCTGCTATCTGCAAGTCTATGTAGTACTTTTATTCCATAATTAAAAAGCATTGAAATAGTGATGTTGATACATATGTAATTACATACTTGAAAGTGTTTTAAAAAACGTATTAAGAGAAATATTTCGAAAAAATGGCATATTCTTTAACAACATAATTTCTGTTTATTTAATTTTAATTATTACAAAAACAATACAAATCAAAGTTTCTAATTAAAATTTTATAGTTTTCAACTTTTACTAATGGATTTTGTTGTAGAATAAATTTTTTTTTTTAATATTTAAAACAAGAAATTTTTAAGCAAAAAACAAAACCGACTTCAAATCTCATATAAAAAATATATATATATACATATATATTTCATGATCCAAGAATCGGATCTGAACCAGATTAGTATGGGACCACCTCTGAGACTCTACCTGCAAAAAGAATTATCGAAATCGGTCGACGCGATCCAAAGTTATGCGGTAACATACATACATAAAAAAAAAAATATTCCGACTAACTGATAACCTCCTCCTTTTTTGGAAGTCGGTTAAAAATAGAAGGAAATTAAATTTCCTTTTTCGTGAACCCTGCTGTACACACAAACATACATATCGTCGGTTAAAGTGCAAAACCGCGTAACTAACATTTTTTGTCAAAAATTGGATTTGCTAACACAATCTCTTGACTAACCAGAAATGCGATTACTTAATAAAAAAAGAGAACCATTTTGTTTTTACTCTCTAGAAAATAATTTATGCTACCTCACATATTTACGCGGTTTTGCATTTTGTTGCTTAAGTTTAACTGAAATTAAGATTCAAGAGCAATAAGCTCTTAAAACTGGGCATGTTTGACATTACTGCCGCAGTGTTGCACCAAAATACAGCTTTCACAAACTAGCCCTTTACATATCAGTTCAGAGTCGCTGCTTCGTAGACTTTTTAATTCTTCGTTATATACTGTGCTCTGACTTTTTTCGTATAACAAAAACTTAAAGCTTAATAAACTCTACTTGCAACTAAAAAATCAACATGGCGAATACAGCGGAAATGGTGTTGGTTGGCGGCGAAAATGCCCCCTAAAGGTATGCTTTAATATTCATACTGAATTAAAGAAACTGGGTAAGCAACGATTTAAGAATAAGATTTAGATTACGATTAATACAAAGATAAAGGTAAAGATCAATATGTAGACGAAGGAAAGGCTAAGATGAAAATAGAAATAAAAAATAAAGACATGTACATACAAAGATGAAGGCAAAATTGAACACTTAATAGATATAAGGTTAATTGTTAAGGTGAATTTGTAGATGAAGATAAAGAAGAGAATGGAGAGAGTGATGGAGATGAAGAGCTAAAGATAAATCTGAAGATTTAGGTACCACAACTCATGTCAGATCACTTCAACTCACCATCTTTTCTTATTTCTAAATTGATCAGCGAATCAAATCACTAACGAAATTAATTTTAGGTTTATCAATTTAAAATCTCTCAACCCAGTGTTATGTTATTTTAAGTAATGAATAAACATAGCTAACAACTAAAACGTAAGCGCGATTTTTACGATGCATTTCTGCATCAAGAAGAAGATTTTGAGAAAAATCTCGCTTACGTTTTTTTTTTGCGGTTAGGGCTTGATATGCATTTCTGCACCAAAAAGAAATTTGAAAAAAAATGCTTGGGTTTTCTGAGCGGTTTAACCAGAAAACGGAGACTTAGATTGCGCTTACTTTTTATTCATATTACTAATTTACCAAACTTGAGACGATAGATAAGCGCAAATACGCCGATATTCAAACAACCAATTACCTCATCAAACTTTTAGTTGGGTCAATAAAAAAAAACCCTTAGCTTCGCATTACTTCCAGGTCGTACTTCCAGGTCTCGCTGGGTATGTATGGTGAAATTTGATAAGCTTCATATATGTTTATTTGCTTTGTACGCAAGTTTCTTATTTCTTGAATATGTATTCTTTCTAAACAAATATTTTCCCACGTTCACTTTGGCGATCATAACGAATCAGTGCATAACTCAGCAATGTTAATATTTTAGTTTATTTATATAAAAAAAAATATCCATACACATATTCGATACAGTTTGTTCTCCAATATTCGAGTTTCATTCATAAAATAAAATAAAAAACTAACCAACTTGCTCTCCTCAATTAAAAATATTAAATTTTAATAGCCCTTTAGGCTCTTTCCATACTAAAATTCTCCAATAGCTGGGCAAGATATTTAATGATTTTGTTACGAGCCTCCACCAATTGTGGTGGATCGGTTTTAGCTGGTTCGTACATATTAGCACAGTGTGCAGTGCCTGTCAAATAAATGTTTAATTTCATAATTAAAAATTGCTGAGCGAAATAGCAAAATACCAAAATATATGTACCTTCGATGTAGATTGTGGGTTGCTTCGGATTCTTAGATTTCGTCAAGCCAAGCGCATGCCATGGATCAATGGAGCCATGCACGTAGAGTACATTTGTTGTATTGGGTTTTAGAGCGCCATAGTATTTATTTGTCTGCGAAACAACCTGCTGCAAGTACTTTGCGTCCATGCTGTATTATATAAAAATATGTAATTATAGTGTTACATAAATTTAATTACTACACCGTTATTAATGTTCTCATTACCTCTCTGAGTAAATATCCATGCATTGTTTAATGAAAAAGTCAACTGCAAATCGATCGCCGAATGTGTCGCTCTCATTATCCGACGTTTGATAGAAACCGAATTCATTGCAAGTCTGGTAGGTCCACTGGCGACTGCCATTGCAAGCTTTAGCACCCCATGCAGTTTCTTTTAGTTCAGCGATCATTTTATCATACTTGTAATCCAAACACTTCTCCTTAGCATCCTGCAAGAGCATGTCGTTAACGACACCGAGACGAGTTACAGGTGGCCCGATGGTCGTATTAACCATAACATTGCAAAGCTGTGAAACGAGTGTGGCAAAATAAGTTAGTCAATAATTATTTTAGCGCATATTTTTTTTAAGGCCATCACTGCATCCATCGCAGTGCTTTAACACTGAACCCGTTATTACATCGATATTACGCAGATTTTACGAAGATCGGACTACGATGAATTCAGTGATAGCCACGTTTGTCTGCTTGGGAAACCTACATCATCGATAGTGTATGTGGCACTGGGCCGATTGTCCTTGTTGTATTGCACGACACCAGCAAAGTTGCCAGCCAAAGCTTCAAAGAAGTTGGACATGTCCAGTGGATTATCTATTGAGTCCTTGATTGGTGTACAGGTTCTAAATGGAAGCAAAAGAAAAAGTTGCAATCAAAATTTTTATATTAATTGAGTAATTTATTCAGCACCCACTTAAATTTCTCATCCAAATTACGCTGGCCGATCATGTGACGTGTCAGAATCTCAACTTGTGCAAAGGCACGGCCAACTGCTTCTAAACAGGCGGGCGAGTAAGTGGCCAAAGAAGCTTTTACTACTTCGAAATATTCTATGACATATTTGAAAAAAAATTAGTGATTTGTTATAAAAGCGATATACTTTAATTTTTATTTAGCTGAGTTTCCATACCTTTGAAATCAACCTTAGCCAATAATGGTCCACTAGAACTAACAGCGCCATGTATTAGCTCAGGATATTTTTCGCGCGACCAGGCTGCCAACGAGCCCGGATAAGAACCACCGAAGGCTATCCATTTTTGGTTAGCACCCAAATTATATTCTTGTTTCATGCTCTGAACAAAGTTGGACAAATCCGCCAAGGCTTGCTCGGAGGTGAGATAGGCAAGATTTTTGGTGGAGAGGTCGCTACAATCAAAAGCACAATTTTTCGATTTTTTTTCTATTTTTTTTTAATTACAACCGAGCGGGACTTACTTTGTAGGATGACTCTTTCCGTAAAACCGATGCTCCAATTGAAAACAAAGCGCACCAAATTGTTCAGCATACTTAATCCAAGCGCCCTCGGACATCCAACGTTTCGATGCCTCACCTTCGCCGCCAATCATTAGAAAAATGGGCGCTGTGCTGTCGTTGCGATAGAATTCATCGTTAACAAAATAACGCTAAAGAAAGAAAATTAAATTAATGGCATTCACTTTACACTAAGTAAATTGAAAGCATTGCATACATACCTGCTTCCAGGTGACATCCTTATTCTTTTCGCCAAAATGATCCAACTTTTGTTCGAACCATTTATCTTCGGGTGCCGGCTTATGTCGCACCGATTCGAATTTGCTGGGTTCGCCAAGGAAACCATCATCATAGCGCCCGTTACGAAAACGACCCAAAGCGGCGCTGGTCTTATCAATATTCGCAACAAAAATAAACAACAACAAAAGTGCGCTCAAACGCAATAGATACGCCATTTTGTCAGAAATTGATCTATTAACGGCGCCCATTTCGTCTTTGGCCCGCTTCAAAAAATAGCTCCTCTCCTCCAAATCTTATACTAGATTTATTTATTAGCACTGTATGTATTTTTTTTTTTTTAATTCACAATCAGTGGTTTTGATGCTATGCGGTATAAAAATAGACAAAAAAGAAAATCTATTATTTTTTTCGTTTTTCCAGTGTCAATAAACTAAAAACATCGAAATAAGTTGGAAATCTCCAGAAGCAGTGGCGTTACAATTTATAAAATTCTAAAAACAAAGTCAATTCGTACATAAATATATACACTTGCATACATAAGTGCTCATATATATGTATGTATGAATATGTAAAACTAAGTGAGGTTATCGCTAGTGATTACTATGCACAAATGGCCACCGCACAATCATAACAAAGCAACCCACCAACTACACGAATGGTGCACCAATATACTTTATCGCCGGAATGCAATATTGATATTTTTTCTGCACAGGTAAGCAAATTTTCGTTAAAATAGTTAACGAATATTTAAGAAATTCGAAGGCTTACCACAGAAATTCAACTTTTCTTTATGCTTTCTAAGAAGAACACTCAGGCGAAGAAATTTTCGTATATGTACTTGTAGGTACATATGTATTTAGTTGACTTTTACCTACCAAACGCTGGCAAGAACAGGAAATTTATAAACGTCTGTCTAATAACGCGTTTGCAAAACGAATGATTAGCTGAGCAGTTTTGCTGTGTTCAGCAACCACTCTTCCGGTTCTCCATAGTAGTATATATGTATATACATATGTATGTACATTAGGGTGGTCCAAAAAAATGCATGTGGGGGGGAAAAAGTGAAGTCGGAATTTTTATGCTCTCACCCCCAAGGATTGTTTTATACCGAAAAAATATACCCCTATTTTTTTATTTGGAAATCAAAAAATATTTAGAAGTCGCTCAACGCGCTCAAAGTTTTCCATGTATTTTATATGGGGAAAAACAACCTTTCGTAAAAATGGTATTTTGGATATTTGTCTACCAGAAAACTCTTCTCATCTGCAGAAGATTCCCAATAATAATTCCCAATGGTTTGTTTAAACATTTTTCATCGCAACTTTAATTTATAGGTCCGCCAAAAACCCACAAAAAACTCCGAAAAATGCAACCCCGTTAGTATTAAAAAAATGGTTAAATAAACAATTGGGTATTATTATTGAAAGTCTCCGATCGAAAACTTTTGATTTTCAAGAATTCTGTACCATTTCTTCGGAAAGTAGTTTTTTTCATAACAAAATATGTACATGGAAAACTTGGAGCGCTTTGAGCGACCTCTAAATATTTTTTGATTTCAAAATAAAAAATAGGAAATAGAACAATCCTAGGGGTGAGAGCATAAAAATTCCGACTTTATTTTTTCACATGCATTTTTGGACCACCCTAATGTACATACATATGTATATACGCATAAATGCATACATATGTAGCTATATGTTAGTGGATCTACGCTGCATGTTCTAAAATGCTCTTAAAACTTATACAAATAAGAGAAAAGAGAATGTATAAGAGTTAAACTAAGTACATTTTTTTAAGTAAAAATTTTTGTGATTACAAAAATATATGTATGTCTACATATGTTTTTTAGTGATCGAGAAAGGATATGTATGGTTGTATATTTTTTTTGCATTTAAATTTGGTAGTAAACAAAACAATTTCACCTTTCTGTCAGGCCCGGTCTGAACCATCCAAGCGGTCCAGCCATTTCTTTACAAAATAGTTACTTAACGAAAAAACCGCTAAACCGCAATTTTCAAGCTTGTGGATAGTGTTAAAGTTCACTGATTAAATTTTTATGAATTTTAGGCTGAGTAAACAGTGCATTAGGTAACCTTTTTTAATCTACCCGATCTATGAATATCCTGGAATTTCATTCTCCAAACACATCTTTTCTAAAAGGCTCCCATCTAATCTTAGCAAATATGAGACAGAAGCATACAAAAGTTTTCTCTTTCGAAATTTCCTCAAACTAGAAAAATAGCTGTTTGTATGTAAGCCAAACAGAACAGACTAGTCCACAGCCTGTCGGGATGTCTACCGTCCTGATTGCCCACTGAGGACCGGATCATATTCAGTATTGGTGCCATTTCCTGAATGCGAACCCGGGATCTGTTAGTCTCTATCACGTCAGGTTCGAGATCATTTGAAGGTCAAGTAGGGAAAAATTCTTTGAATGAGCGAATGTAAATGCTTTGGCCAGGCGACAGAAATCGACCTTGGTAGCGGCAGCGTTAGGGGCGAAAAAAAGTTATAGTTTCTTCGCTGAAGGTGATAGTCTAGAAGAAAGGAACAAGGTCCACATCCCGTCATTCTCTAGTAATTTAGAGAGGTGAAAGGTAAGAAAAACAGGAATGCAGGGATAGAGACCCAATCGCCCATACTCGATGAAAAAATATTCGAGCAAACTTAACGGCATTCGCAAGGCGTAAGAAAATGTTGCGATGTTAGGTAACTTTACTACAAAAAACCAGACCCGCCTTTTTCGAACTATAAGGTTAGGATATTTAAAAACCTAACGTGGTATAACAGTACTGGATTTGGAGACACAACATGGAATTGTGGAGTCGGGGTGTGTGACCCCTAAGCCTTTCCTATAGGCCAAAACGTCTATTCAAGCATCACGGTTACCGAACGAAATTTATTTCTTCAAACAATCCTTTTCCCGTTAACACAGCAAGCATTGAGTTTGAACGCGATATGGCATAGTTCTTATTTTACTTTTATAAACAAAAACTTGTCGGAAAACTTTAACAAAATAAAATTTGAGAAAAATGTTTAAAATTACAAAATTCTCAGTACCGCATATTTTAATTGATGCTGCGCGTCAAGCTGCTAGCAAATCTGGTGGCAAAGGAGCCGGTGGCAAATGTGGGCCTCCTAAAAAATCAGGTGCATGTGGGCCTAAGAAAAACTCAAAGGGTGCAAATAAAGATGCAAAAACAGATGCCGAGAAATGTGGTGGTACCCCATCAGCTACTCCACCCTCCAGTCCAACCACTGGTGGTGCTGGAAAGGCTCCTCTTGGAAATTTGGGAGGCGTTGGAAGAGAAAGCAGCTGCAAGGCGAAGGTACCGAAATCCGGTAAAGGTAGGCATTAAGGGAAATATTTTTGGATTACTAATTTGTCAGAAAAGAGGCTACGCACATTCAGATAACCCAATGTAGGATAGGAATAAAATTCTTAACAAAATTTGAAATATCTCGGTTTCTTCTCTGATGGTAAGGGTCTTTACCAGGAGAGCCTTAAAGTTAGATAACATAAATTAAAAAGATGTTCTTTGCCAAAAAAAGTTACCGATTCCTGAAACGTATTTCCAGCAGAGTTAGCAGCTATTGAAAAGGCCATCGCGCCAAGTTAATCGAAACGGAAATTAAGGTAAAATTACTTTTGGTCCGGCTAGCCTTAGTACTCTCGTGGAGTTTTTTGTTTTAATATGGAAAGATACGATTTCCATTTTAAGCACTCATTTTTTCGGGTCAGCTACCTAACCTAATCTACTATACTCCGTACTATCTTACATAACAGTTTTGACTCTTTGTCGAGACGGAGTGTTTTTGGCTTAGTGACATTAGAATGGAACAATTTCGTCTAGGCTAAATAAAGCAAATGCTGAATAGTTACCAGGTGATCTCAGCCGTAGGCATTTGTTGACAATTAATTGATATGGGTTTTAGTTAGGAGGCTATACAATGCCCCGGCTTCCGTTTTCAATATTGCGAATTGAGGCCAGAGACAACAATTAAACTTAAAAGTGAATAAGAAACCCATCTTAGGGCATCCTCAGTAGAAGTAGCCTCTTTTATACCATCCATATATGTAATTGTATCTATTTTTACAGGCACCAGTACGGCGGAAGCATTTAGAAAGATCTGTTTGTTCGGTATCTTGCCAGCTATTGCTTTATTGAATATCTTAATATTCTCCACAAGAACGCACGAAGAGCGCGAAGAGTTCAAAATGTGGCCGCATCTTTATAAGCGTGACAAACGCTTCCCATGGCGTGACGGAATAAAATCTCTTTTTCACAATTCATATGCAAATCCTTTGCCTGACACAGGATACGAAGATGAATAACAGCTGTTTTTTGCGAATGTATAAAATATATTTTTTCGAAATAATCTACAAAATTATGAAATAAATTAACATTTTTTAATATCCGGTATATAATCGCAATTAATATCCGGCTGTTTCTTCATGTCGATCGGTGGACATTCAACGCAACAAACATTATCCTTTGGTGTACTCTTCAAGAGATCGGCAATTTTTTCCTGTTTAGGGCTCCTAGAAGACGTTGGAGCAGGCTGTGGTGGTGCTTCAGCCTTGGCACCGGTTTCAGATGTAGCTGGTTGTGGCGGAGGATTTGATTTGCCCCAGAATTCCTAAATGTTGAGTTAGAGTTAAAGTGACCGCAAAAGAAGTGGCGTCTTAAAACAACAACAACTTTTCACACACTCACCTCCGGTACATCCCAAATGATAATTGAACCATCAATGCTGCCAGTGACAAACAGCCTACCGTTCGGACTAAAAGCACAGCTCATTACAGGCGATGAGTGTTCATAGCCAGCGCAAACAGTAATACCACGATTATAATCCCACAACTGCAAATAAACGTACATGTACATAGTACATCTAAGCCATTGAATTATCTAATCTCGGAGATGCACTTACCTTCACCGTTTGATCACTCGACACTGTAAGAAAATAATCACCAGTTGCATTGATATCCAAATAGTTTATGGAGTTCTTTTTCGTGCCATGAAGTTCACGTATAAGGCTACCATTGTAGACCATCCAGTAGCTGATGCGCCCATCAGAGCCGCATGCGAGCAATTGTACGCCAGTTGGAAAGTAACGAGCACACATGAATTGCGTGTTGGAGGTGATGACAAATTTGCGTGTCATGCGGCTGAGCATAAATTTTGAGGGTTATGAATGAAAAAAATATATATAAATAAATAAACCACATAAATTATTTATGTATGTATATGTAGAAGCATACTTTACATCCCAAATAACGCAAGATCCATCAACGCAAGCTGATATAACCTCGGTGTCCAAGTGATTAAAGTCCAACGAGGATATCGGACCGGAATGATCCTTTAAGACGCCAAGCAAACTTTGACGAAATGGTTCAATTTTCCATAAACGCACTTGTCCCTCCACGCCGCCGGTGACGAGTAAGCGGCCAGTCGATGATACTCGCAATGCACTGCAGCCTATAGTGAATAAAGTTTATTAGAAAATTCGCCTTTATATGCATCAATTATGGAAACGAAAATCTATATCCTGATATTTACGATTTCATAGTACAAAATGACTGATTTCCACATCCCTACAAGTCTCATAATTTATTAATTAGGATACTTAAAAGCCCAAAGTTCAGTTTTTTTTTTGTGAATGTAAAATACCTTAAATAATACTTTTCCAGGCCACAAAATTCTTCTTGTATATTTCTCATTTTCATTCTTACTTTGTAAGTCTACTTGTTACTCAGTCAATTCCAACTTCCCAACTTTGATTTATTGTAAAAAAACGAAAGAGTTTAGGTACAAACCTTTATTATGCGCATTTGGTATGGCATAAATCAAACGGCCGGTTATGGGTGTGAAGGCGCGAATTACACCATCATTCCAAGCTGATACAATACTGCTGCCATCATTGGTGAATTGCAAGGAGACACATTTGAAATTATAGACCATAATACGCAGCAGCTCCTGCAGACGTCCAATCGACCAAATGCGTATGCTTTGATAGCCAGCAGAGGCAAAAACGGTTGATAAGTTTCTGAAAAAAAAAAGATTCCAATCGGCAATGTTAAATTTTTGTATGCAGAATTTATGCAAAATGATGTAACTTACTTGGGAAATACAATTTGATTAACTGGCTTACGATGGCTTGTCTTCAATAATTTACATGAAAATTTGGCAATATTCAGAAACCATATTTCATTTTGGTCGGTGGAAACGAAGAACTCATTACCATTGATATTCACCAAAGATGTGACAGCGCCATTCACATTTGCGCGCTTGAGCTGAAATATCAGTAATCGACTTTTATATGAAAACTTACAAACAATGCTTGCACTTTGCACTTTCTGCAACCTACTGTGCGAAATATTGGCCACGTGGGACTGGGATAGTCCTTCATCATTTCAAGCGTAACGTCTTTACGTTCTTCCACTAACTCCAATGTGCCATCGCCGGCACCCACCAAAAGCAGTCCTTTCTTCACAATTTGCAAATGGCGTACACCGTTAACAAAGCGTTCACAGTCCTTGCCATATGGTTTGCGTGGATTGTGCTTACCGAATGCGCCTATCATCGCCGCCACCATGCCACTTTGGGTGACATTCACCGGATCACAGCAGTTGAGCACGACTTTCACAATATCACCGGTCATTGTGCCTAGGTAAAGGTATTGATCGTTTTCGTCGACCTGCATACCAGTATAGATTCGTTGAACCTTGCCACAATGTACATCATGCACATGGAGTTTCTTCTGTTCGCGCTGAATGCTCCACATGCGAAGGTGTCCTGCATGCGTTTAACCGGGTTTTTACATATATAAATGATTTTTTTTTTTTTATTAGTTACTTGTGAAGTATGAAGGTAAAATGGGGCTTACTTTCACCAGCGACTAAGAAATGAGATGGACTATTACGTAGGGAGCAAACTGTTAGAGCAAACCCGGATATTGAGCGGGAAGCTGGCGCCTGACATATTGGCGTACTGGAAGGAGAATGTTAAAAATTATATCAACAATAAATTAGTCCTAAACGCGTTCATCTATGTGTAAGTAAACTATGCTTGAGAGCCAAAATCTACAAGGCCTTAAAAGCTTAACGGTGAAGTTCTAAATCACTTTTAAGCTAACAGCTTAAAGCTCACACATCTACTTACCGTGCAACGGTATCCAACACAATAACCGTACCATCGTCATTTCCGCCAACCGATACTAAACACTTTTCATCGGCCGTAAATGAAATCGATTGTACCAAGACCTTGTGGAGATCATGTCGCGTCAATTGCTTGCGTGCTGAAAAATCCCACATAATTACATAAGCTGGGAAGCCCATGTGATTTCGTTGACCCGAGGCTAAATACTGCCCGCTGCATCAGTTTGTGTAATGAATTATGTATTAATTACAAATTATAATTAACAATGAGCACTGACATTCTCTCCTACCTTTTGCTGATCGTCAGACAAGACACGGCATGTGTATGGCCGCTCAGGAACTCTTGTTTGTTGTTCATTGTATTGGCGATGCCAATCTTATTGCCCAGTGGATAGATCATGCTCACCTTATCCGGATGCAATTGGTAACCGTTTTCGACCTTGCCATTGGCGCCGAATATGGCGCGCGGCTCCAATTTTTTTACCTCAACCAGCAGATCGGACATTGTATAGTTTTCTAAATAGTTAACACTATTCTTTTTAAAGCTTTATTACTCGTGAGTTGCTAATTCGAAAAAATGTCGATTTAGCAAAATATATCAATGCTTAAAGAAATAGAATATATATTCTTTTTTTACAGTTAGTTAAATTGAAAATTCAATAAATAAAAAAATTTTCCAACGCCAATGATATTTCAAACTAGTCAGCGAGTATTTTCGGAGTTTTTCTTTTACCGTATAACAAAAAATAAAAAATGAAATTGTTATTGAAAAATGTGTCCGGCATAGTTACTTTGTTGTGTTGTTAGGTTGCATAAACAAAAAATTAAGTCACCGAAACTATCCAACGCTTATTTATTATACATAGGGTGGGAAATAAGAAACAACAACAAAACCACAATTATTTGGTTTACTTGCATATCGTCGGTGATACTGCAAAACGGTCTATGTCTATTGGTACCCTTGACACTTAGATGGTCTCTTACTTACACTGGAATGCATCCCCTAATAAACGAATGACAAAAGTGTCTACCTTTGGCTGATGAAGACGAGCGATTGCCAGAAGCGATCAGATACAGAGGTAATAAGTGACATAGAACGTTTTGCAGTATCACCGACGATATATCGCATACCCTCTTTAAAAGAGGCACAACTCAAAAAAAAAAAAATTGGTAGATTTCTTTGCATAAATCAATTCGTAGGATTTATCTCAAATTAATGCAAATATTCTTTTTCTTCATGGTTATATTCTCTAACTAGAAATCTACGGTTATAAGTTTTTTGGTTGGTTTGTGCATCAATCGTTGTCGGGAAAAGCAAATGTATCTACATCAGGCACCATTATAAAAAAATTACTTGTTTTAACTGATCAAATTTTTTTTGTAACTTAAAGTATTGATAAATAATTTTAGAAGAAACTACTAATTAGTTTTTTAATCTATTTTAAGCTGTTTTATTTTCTTACAAGTAATTTATTAATCTTTCACATTTCTTTCAATTATCGTTTATGTTATTTATTTCTACTTTCGATTGATTTTATTTTTGGTTATACATACGTGTCTAGTATTTTACAGAATTTATTTTGTTTGGTTTAATTATATTACCTATTATGAATAATATTTTATTTAGCCCTATTTTGCGTTATTTAATTTAATTTATTTATAATTTTATTTGATTTTGTTTTATTCTATTTTATTATTTTATTTTATGTATGGATATATTTTTCGATTTAATTTAATCATTTATTTAATTTAATTTAAATATATAAGTTTGATTAATTTTTATTAGATTGGACCAAGTAAGAATCTTTCTAACCACTTGTTCCTCGATAATGGCAGCCGCCAAAAAAATTTAAACGTGAAAAAATTTATGTCAAATTTTAAATAGATCACTGCGCTATTTAGATAAATTTAATGTTTTGCTGCCTCACTGCTGATTTTTTAAATTTACGGGTTATTTTTGTATTTCCCTGTTTAATTCAAGACAAAAAAGAATTGTTGACCACCACTTGAATTACTTCAGTTTTTGAAAAAAATATAAATTTGACGACGGAAAACATACTTTAAATCAGTATGTTTGTAAATAAAATATATTTTTTTATTAGTATAAAATGTACACATCGACAACATACAACATCGTCACTGAAATACAAAAAGTCGTAACTTATAAAAAATTCAAAAGTCACTTTTTGATTGCTATGATGTACTTCATCGAAACACACACATCGTTTTACGAAAAAAAAAAATTAGTGACGACTTTTTCCATTTCAGTGACGATGTTATTACGTTATTTTGCATTTCAGGTGACGACATTTACATGCTTGTAAAAAAAAAAAAATGAATAAACTAAAAATCTTCCGCGAAAAATTCCTTTTAGTGCCTTTATTAATTCACTGCGGTTTACCAATCTGGAGTCCGAACCCTGGCATAAAGCCGGTAGTCACGGTTGCCGCATAAAAAATGTATTAGTACCAAACCTTTAACAAACAAGTAAAAAAAGTCTAAGTTCGGGTGGAGCCGAACTTTAAATACCCGGCGCAAGTATTAAATATAGTTTTCCACCTTTCTGAAAACTACCGTTACATGGTAAGAAGTGCGGTTTTAACCCTATTTCTAACAATTTCGATAGTATGTTCAGTTATATATACGTAATGAGATTATATAGTTAGATGTGGGCGGTATCACGCCCACTTTCCAAAATTCTATAATAATATTACTTATTTTTAAGGAATTGCTGTTAGTATAAATTTTTAGTAAATTGGCGGCTTTCAATTTCGAAATATCGAAGTTTTAAGAATTTCATAAATTTACTGTTGTATGAAAAGTGGGAGTAATTTTAGTCCGATTTCAATCATTTTTAACGGCTTGCTTTTGTGTTGTAAGCGAAACAATCATACCGAGTTTGGTACAAAGATTACCGAGATATAGATATATGGTCATAAGTGAGCGGGGTCACGCCCATTTTCCAAAATTTTATCGTAAGCGTATTTTTTGCTAAGCAGTTATTGCAAACATCAATTTTGAATGAATTAGCTTGAGTATTTACTGATTTATCGAAGCTTTCGTATTTCTAAACACTACGTTTATATGGGAAGTGGGCGTGGTTACGGTCCGATTTTGTCCATTTTCAATACCAACCTACCTTGGGTAAAGGGCAGTCTACATACCAAATATGTACCTAACCGATTCGGGTAGTGCTTTTGGTTCCAAACCGATTGGGTAGTGTATTTTGATAGGAATACGGCAACCATGGCAGCTGTCAAAACTGCGAAACGCCTGCACAAAAGCAAACTGAAAATTCCATAAATAAAAAATGTTCATTAATAATTCTTTTATTCTTTAACTAGCACCCAGGTGTGAATGGTTGTAATACCGTGAAACGCGCGGAATTATTGTCCACAAATACTTAAATTAAGCGCACCAGTTGGGCCCAGAAATAAACAAGTTAAAGTTCTACAACCGAATATATCGCATTTGCCTTTTCACGAATTTGTTAAAAATCGAAGTTTACAGTGGTTTTAAATTGCCATTTTAATGCTTGCATAAATTTTTGCACAAAGATAACATAAAACAAACATAATGGATACGCTAGCCGTAATGAAAGTGTGTTGTATCGGTGCTGGATACGTTGGAGGCCCAACTTGTGCGGTGATGGCGCTCAAGTGCCCCGATATACAGGTCACCGTTGTGGATAGAAGCTCTGAACGCATAGCACAGTGGAATTCAGAAAAATTGCCCATTTATGAGGTAAGTCACGTGCGATCACATACGTATTTGGATACATTTTATTCGGCGTAAACAAAATTTCCTCTATAAGTCAGCCACGTTCGCATTGAGCATCATTTTGTGTGTGTGCGGTTGCTGTATTTTAAGAACTATTTGATGAAACCAGTTATACACCATTTCCAATGTGCTAAACTCTTTTTTTTTTTTTTGGTAGCTAAGCTGCAAAATCGGCATCTCTTTGAATGTATGGCCGGTTGGTGGTTTAGTCAATTATTTGCAGCAAGGTCAATGTCATGTAATGCAGCCTTGTTTCCTATGTGGGACTGCACATTTAATTGCCTACAATTTAATCACAATTCAAAATTTATTTGCGTGGAAGTTGCTTTTTTAAATTTAATAAATAATTTTGCTTTCATGATTGCTTTTCTTCAATGTTATCTTAATAATCAGCCAATCTTCCTTCCTTTGTTTTGGACAAAGCTTGATAAGATTTATAACCCCGTCGCAAGCTAGATAAAGTTAGTAGCTACATACATACATATGTATTTAAAAAACAGCTTATCAGAAAATGCAGATACAAATTTTGTTTAATAACTTAGTGTACACCATTTATAAATGTATTTAGGACATGAATAAATAAATCCACAACTAAATACATTCATTCATATTGATGAAGGTACATTAATCTAATTCAACCGACTACCTATGCGTGCTGATTCTTTTATAAGCATGTATTTTGGCATTTTAAAAGGAGTTATTCGAAACTCAATACAACGAATTTGTAGAGACCAGATAATAATGAGTAACTATAGTGGCCCTTTAACAGATCATAACAAAAAAAATAAAAATAAATCACCTTATCGTTGAAATGTTGAACGTTATTATACTTGTTTATTTATCGTACATAGTATGTATGTATGGATGTTTTGCGCAGGCAGCTACTGCACTCTTATCTCCGTTGATAATTAGTTATTTCCTTGTTGATGATAATAAAAATGCTGAAAATTAATACATACCACAATCGGAAGTTACGCTTATTAGATTTTTCAAAAAAATTTACATATTTATTTGAGTGCATTCATGCATAGTATATTGTCATCGGTAGTATGGCGGAACAACTTTTTTACATTTCTCCTGTGCCAATTCGTAACTTTTTTCATCGGGAAATTTTTTTTGATAGTTTCTTTGATGCCGAAAAAGGCTACAAGTTCCCCAAAGGGTTTTGGGGGAGTGTTGCTGGAGCGACAGTCCTTGGCCAGATATAAATCTGGGTCGTTCCGGTTACGTAGACCCGCAGCAGCTATAGAGAAAATATTGCTGATTTCACTTCTTATGGAACTGAAATCCATGCGTTTATTATATCTATCTTTTAGCAATAATATTAGAAATAAAAATACACCAAAATCGTCAGGTAAGTGTGCTTACAAAAATGTTGAAAACCGTGTACAATCAAGGCACTTTACAAACCACATAGCTGGGTAAGGCTTCCTCAAGTGGGTCCCGAATTTACCAAGATTAATATTTTTCAATGATATTCAGGCAGCGCTGAGTTTTGGAGTCGAAAAGTACACTGTCTAAATTTTGTTGCAAAATTCCAAATAGTTTTTTTTTTTTAATTAACAATTGAAAATTTTTGTAGTGTTTTGGAAATTTTTATTTTTCTTTGAAAGTAAGTGTCCGAAGGAGAAATTAAGAAACATTAAACTATACAATGAAATTATTTGCGTTACAAAATTTTTTATTTTATTTTTTTTGCTTTTCAATAATTTTGTTATAAACAATTGAACATTTACATCTTCTGCTCGTGGACGCAAATTTTTATCAACTTGTGTAAAAA